TGTGATGAAGAAGAGGCCTTACCAACGTTTTCCATCTGTTAAGTACTTTTCAGTTAGCACCACAAGAACGATGGGACTGTTGGTCTTTTCACTTGTAGGGGACGGAGAATCCTGTAAAGGAAATCATTAGTTTGCCTCTGCTTGGTGTCATGGATTTTTTTTGTTTTTTTGAGATGGTATCTTATTCTGTTGCCCAGGCTGAAGTGCAGTGGCATGTTGTCAGCTCACTGCAACCTCCACCTCCCAGGTTCAAGTGATTTTCCCACCTTGGCTTCCCAAGTAGCTGGAATTACAGGTGGGCACCACCTTGCTTGGCTAATTTTTTTTTTTTTTTTTTTTTTTTTTTTTTTTTTGAGTTGTGTTTTTTTCTTTTTTTTTTTTTTTTTTTTTTGTTATATTTGAATATATTATTTCTTTTTTTTTTTTTTTTTTAGTAGAGAACGGGATTCACCCTGTTGGCCAGGCTGATCTGGAACTCCAGACCTCAAGTGATCCACCTGCCTTGGCCTCCCAAAATGCTGGGATCACAGGCATGAAACACCGTGCCCAGCCTGCTGTCATTGAGTTTTACTTATCTAATTTCTCATCCTTCTGTTTTCTAGCATTTTCTAACATTTAGATATATTCATATGACAGAATAACAACATGTCAGAATAAATATCCAGTGGCCACATCTCAGTCAGCATTCTTGTTTTTGTATTGACAGCATTGCATCCACCATCGCTTAGGAATCTTCTGCCCAAACTTACTCACGTGGGCTCTAGACCCTGGGTGTGGGTGTATTTATACAGACTATCCCCATCTATGCTGGTGTCTTTTTTTCCTATTTTTTCCCTGTTCTTTATAAACATTTACGTTATGTCACTGAAAAAGATATCCAGGCCAGGCGTGGTGACTCATGCCTATAATCCCAACACTTTGGAAGGCTGAGGTGGGCAAATCACTTGAGCTCAGGAGTTTGAGACCAGCCTGGGCAACATGGTGAAACCCATCTCTACTAAAAAATACAAAAATTATCTGCACATGGTGACAGATACCTGTCATCTCAGCTACTCGGGAGGCTGCGGCAGA